GAACATACAAAATTGTCATCTTCTCTCTTTCATTTCTGAGTCAACCATAACAACTTATTTCTGAACCTTCATTCCTGCTGCTGCAACTAGTTGCCTTACTCAAGCTAAAGCTCAGAATGTATGCAGATCACATACTACTAAAGCATCCTTCAACAGCCTTCCGAAGTACTGGGGTACAATTCCTTGCCTGCTTACCAGGAATCCAAGAACATCTAGCACAGTGGTTCTCAACCTGTGGGTCGGGACCCCATTTGGGGTCAATCGACCATTTCACGGGGGTCGCCAAGCAAGGCTGTCTGCCATTTTTTTTGTCCACCATTTTTTTTGTCCGCGATTTTTTTCCCCTTTTCCAGCGGGTGCCTTACCTCCCTTGGGCTGGGCCAGCTGGTGGTTGGCCTGCTCCGTCTCTGCCGCTTGCCAGCTACGCCTCGGCTGGCGCAGGGGGCGGAACCACGCATGCGCGGCACTCCTGGGCAGGGAAAGTCCTCGACTTACGACCGGTTGGGTAGTCCTCAACTTACGACCGGTTTAGTCCTCGACTTATGACTGGTTTAGTCCTCGACTTACGACCGGTTTAGTCCTCGACTTACGACCGGTTGGGGTCACGGCATTAAAAAGGTTGAGAACCACTGATCTAGCAGATAGTAGGATGGGAAGACCAATCAAATGAAATACATTATGGCTTTAGGTACAGATGCTTATAACTATGCTCTCTAAATAGGAAAGAGAACACGGAGCTCTTGATGTAAATGGCATCTGTCTGGTCTCAATGCTCATGAATTCCAAACAGCTATTTTATTTTCCTGGGCTCCAAGATCACCGCAGATGGGTACTGCAGCCAAGAAATTAAAAGACGCTTGCTCCTGGGGAGAAAAGCTATGGCAAATCTAGACAGCATACTAAAAAGCAGAGACACCACCCTGCCAACAAAAGTGCATATAGTCAAGGCCATGGTTTTCCCAGTTACAATGTATGGCTGTGCAAGTTGGACCATAAGAAAGGCTGAGCGCCAAAGAATTGAGGCCTTTGAACTATGGTGCTGGAGAAGACTCCTGCGAGTCCCTTGGACTTAAGGCGCTCAAACTGGCCAGTCCTAGAGGAGATCAACCCCGACTGCCCTGATTTGCCCTTTAGAAGGCCAAATCCTGAAGTTGAAACTCAAGTACTTTGGCCACCTAATGAGAAGGAAGGACTCACTAGAGAAGAGCCTAATGCTGGGAAAGATTGAGGGCAATGGAAGAAAGGGACGACAGAGAATGAGGTGGCTGGATGGAGTCACTGAAGCAGTAGGCATGAGCTTAAATGGACTCCAGAAGATGGTAGAGGACAGGAAGACCTGGAGGAATGTTGTCCATGGGGTCACGATGAGTCAGACACAACTTTGCAACTAACAACAACAATCTATATTGACTAATGTGAATTTCTGTAATTCTTAAGCTGGTTCACAAATACATGCATCTTAATTACTCCTTTTAGCATATGGCATTTTTCAGATAGCTGTATAGCTGGTTCTGCAAGCAGATGTTTAAAAATCCCAAAGCAATTTAGAGCCATGATAAGAAGCTAAACTGATGACTCCAAGCTGCCTGCTTCTGCAACAGGATAAACTTACTGTGAGTCAATAAAATTGGAGGGGAATACCAGTGAGCTCATCAGATGTGGAACCATCTCTGTCTCTTTCTATATCTATCGCTCAATGACTCAAGGGTGAATATAGAGATTATTATTGAGAAATATTATGTAGTAGGTAGAAAATTTGTGGCTGAATCCAGACTTGGTCACAGAAAATGCTCAGTGAAACTAGAAAAGTCATTACTTAATTCCAAGTTTCATTGATTTCACTGTCAATTCCAAATACAAAGCTGCATCCAATCAGCTAACCATAGCATTGGATATATAATTTACTACTTTTATGTAGTAATATTGAAATTATTTAAAGAACAATGGTGCTTTTCCCAAAAGGCAACTGGACTTTCTGGGATTTTTCTTCTTCTTTGAAAATGTTTTGCTTCTATCCAAAAAGCTTTTTCCGTTCTTTTTGAATGGGAAGTGAAATGTTTTCATAGAAAAAAGAAACCAAGAAAATCCAATTGCCTTTTGGAAAAAGCACTTCTGGATGATTGAGAATTCCATAGACATTAAAGAACAGCTGTAATGGTGTTGATCATGAGTTTAAAACAATCCAATTCACAAACCCACAGGGATAACATTTTGAGGGTGAAGGTTCATTCTCCAAACTCTCCTAAGCTCCACTTAAGATGCTACCTAGCCTGGTAACGAAACTTTCAATCCACAAGCTTGGAGAATGAACCTTCCCCCTCATCCTACATCTGAGCTACAGATATTTGCCACTGTAACTTTTTATTACAGCACCCATAATTTTGTAATTGCAATCTTTCAAGCTTTTCTGAACATTTCTTCAAATAAAATGATAAATACATAGAAAAAGAGGAGGAAATATATTAAACTGGCATGAATACCAGTTGCAATTTTCTCTCTCCTTTTCTAAATTTTTGTCACTTTGCTTAAGGATGGGTTCTGAGACCACCTAAATTCTGCAGATGATAACTGACCAATTAAGGCAATACCATTTTTAACTTAGCAGCTAGCCAAATGATTTTGTTCCAATATAGTTTAAAATATACTGCGTCTGAGGTTTCCCCATCCAATTAATTATTATGGTTCATCGCATAGTCAACCAGATGTTCAGATTGGATTTGGCATTTTTGTCCACATATTGAGTCCTTCCCAAGGAACTGAGATAAGCAGATATGGATGTTTGGTGGTGTTACAGATATTTCTGCAGGATGTAAGCTGTTTTGAATAAAGCTGCCTTTTGTAATTGACTGATGGTGAATCTGTCAATGCTGATGGTTTTCTAAGTGATGCTCCAATTATTTCAGGATTGCACCCAACACGCCTATTACTATTGGTAATGACCTTTGCTTTTTTTTGCCAGAGTTGTTCTATTTCCATTTGCAGGTCTTTGTATTTTGTTATCTTCTCCAATTCTTTCCCTTCTATTCTGCTGTCTCCAGGTATTAAATTTGCCATCTTTGTCGTCATGAATAGTTGTCCATGTGCAGACTGACATTCTCCAAATGTTACTAGACCAGCATCCAGAGTTTCCCAGCCAAAACTGTTCCTTTTTCAGGAATTACAAAGGCATGCTTTCTCAGTATCTCAAGGAAGAAAATATCACATATTTTGGATGACAGCAGCAAAAACTTACCCTGAAGACAGACAGACTAGGAGAGATTTTTATTAAAATATAGCTATAACTAATAAAAAAATCTGTACAAAGTAAAACGTTTAAATTAACTGAAAAACAAAGGCAGCTCTTTGAATGTAAAAAAGAAATCACTTGATGAAATTGTTTTAAACCACTGCTTTCAGAAAAGCTAAAGAATAGCCCATTAACTGCAGGTTCTCAGTGCACACGTGGGGAGAACATGAGCGTCTTGGGAGTTTGATTCTTGAAAAGCTCCAAGGCAAGGTTGAACACAAGGAAAGCCTGGGATGTGTTAGAAGATTTGCAGCTGACCTACAAGCATTTTCACCCTCATAAAAAAAATAGTTACAATAGAAAGAACTATTGCCCAGTTTTGTGGGATGAGTGACATACATAAAGTTTTATGGATAAGTGAAGGACAGGAGTAAAACCTTGCACATGAGTGACATTAAAGCAACTCTAGTCCTGAAAGCTAATTATTGAGCTGAACATGTCCCCAGTTCTAAAAGTGTAGAGCCCTCATCCTCAAACCATATTTCTGCATGCTCACTTTTCATGTTTCTTGTGTAAGAAACTGACTCCTACTTTCAGAGGAAAGTTCTGACTGTTTGAACTTTATTTACTTAAAAGGAAGTTAATCTTTAATTTAGAATGATTTGCTCCCTGGACACAAAAGGGAAAGTAGTACACACAAACACACACACACAAACACACACAAACACACACACACACACAATTTTTGCAAAGGTCCCCTATCTGGTCAGTCTCCTATCCATGTGAACCTACATGTGAAAGCATGTAACTGTGCTTGTGTGTATACACACAGATCAAAAGTTGCTCCAAAGAAATTTAGGGCTAGGACTACAAAATAAATTATCAGTTAAATTGCTAAGTACTTTAGTCAAGTAAAATAATATATTATAACATTAATTCATTTCTGATATGCATATGATGACCATTCTATTTTTTCACACCAACCACTCTCATATGCAGAACCACATAAACCACATTTACACCTCCCTTTTTCCAACAGTAACAGGAAAGACAGAAAATGATGGTAAGATGGGAAGGGAAAAGAAAGAAAAAGAGAAGATCAAAACTGCAGAGGGGAAAGATCCTGTCTTCCCAAAATAAGCCCTTTCAATAAGGCAGGAGAAAAGAAGGTATGCCATTGCTTTTGTCTGAGAGCAATTATAGTGTGAATGTTTGTGTGTGTTGTCTAGGGACCTATATTGTTGTTGGCTCTTTTGTGTTTGTAGCCCACTAAATTGAGTATAGTGAAAAGAATCCATGACATTGCAGATAGATTATAACTTCTCTGCTGTACACAGACTTAAAAGTTAATTATTGGGATTGTCCTCCCTTTGGGCAAACAGGGCATTTAATCCCACGAAAATCTGGAATATGGAAAATCCAGTTATGCACACACTACTTGTGGATGCTTTCATAGATGAGTAAGAACTTTGGTTCCCAACATATACGAGGTCACAAAGCAGAATATATAAAACCAGAAATAAGTGCAGCATTGGCGTTTTCTTAGTCCTTTGTGTTGAGATTTTTTTTTTATTCCAAACCCATTCACAGTACTTTTTAGAAATGAGGTTCCACTGGGAAGTGGGAAGGTTCCCTGGATTAGCTTAGAGCTGTTCTTGTTTTACCAATCCACTTGCAGGAGAGGAAGGAATATTCTGCACAGAGGTTCTACTGGTGGAAATTTCCCAGTCTTTGGAGATATTAAGGTACGTGAGGTTCCAAAGGCACAGAACATGTTGGAATCATATCAAAATGCATCTTGCCAGTTCAAAGTCTACTTTGGTAGGTCCAAGAAATCAACAACGCCTCCCTTTCATCTGCAGATATTATGGGAAGCATATTGCTCAATCAAGTCTCTCTGTGAACAAAGAACAAAGGAGATTAAAATATATTTTTGCAGCCATTCTACAGGGACAGTGTGTGAATATCTTTTCCAGGCATTATCCACCACTGGATAATCAATGAAAATCAATGAAAATCAATAAAAAATAATAATAATAATAATAATAAATTTAATTTATATGCCGCCCTTCTCCCAGCGGGACTCAGGGCGGCGCACAACATATTTAAAACAAAACATAAATACATTCCCCCCCGATAAAACCGAATTAAATCAAATTTTAAAGTTGTGTCTCTGTCAAATTGTTAAAAGATAAACCCCAAATAAAATCCTCCCTAGGTCAGNCGACGGCACCCTGAGGAGGCCCACTCTGTGGGAGCGTACCGGTCTGAGGGAGGGGATCTGCGGCAGAAGGCGGTCTCGGAGATAACCGGGTCCTATGCCATGAAGCGCTTTAAAGGTGGTAACTAACACCTTAAAGCGCACCCGGAAGGCCACTGGCAACCAGTGCAGCTCGCGCAGCAGCGGTGTCACATGGGAGCGAACTGCATTTGCTCACTGCTGCCTCCTGCATTCACAACAATAAATTGCAAATTACAGAACATTGAAAGAGGAAGAAGACAAGAGGAGAAACATACATGAAATTTGAAAAAAAGTTAAACTGAGCTCCTGCAGCCAAAAGGTCAGACAGACACACTTCAATATAAGCAAACTAAAGACAGACATGCAAGGGAAATGAGACAACAAACAGTGATGAAACCCAATGTAGGGGATACAGGCAAGAATGAGCAATGGAAAGTGAACAATCAGTCCTTCAGTTTTGTGATCAATTACCTTCATCGCCTTTGTCTCCTTTTGATCTGGGCTCCTGCCACCATTCAGACAAAAACCCCTCTTCATAGTCACCAATGTCTTCAAACTCGGCATCAGATGGCAATGCAGGTTCTTTTACCCCATCGACTCTTTCATCGACCTCTCCCTGAAGCAGGACAGAAGAACTAGTCAGAAGCAAAGCAATCAAGAACCTAGACTTTTCCATCTTCTGCAGATGGACTATTTCAGATGGACTATTTGGTACAGAATCCAACATTACAAAAAAATAACCATTTGCAAGTTTCTAGGCTTTATTCCTGAAAATAGTGGTATGGGTAATGCCAGGTAGAAGCTCAAAACCCCGATGGCAATCCTTAGGTAGCCAAATCTTTTCTTTCCAGCTGAGAAAAACTGAAAATAAAACATTTCCCTTTTGTCTTGCAGATTTATCTTGTACTTGCCATCCTCAAAGTAAATTAGTGGGGCAAAGTTGGACTAAAGGAGACAAAAGCTAGCTCTTAATTTATCACATTTTTACCTGTCTCCCAAGTTCTCACCTCATCATCTGGCTGGAGATATTGCCTGGCAAACTCCAAGAGTTTCTTCTGTGTGGATGTCCAGTTATGGTAATGCAAGGCCTCCTAAGAATATCAGAGAGAAAACAATCAGCCAGAACAGGTGAGAGAACAATAAACAATATTTGTACTTTATACAATTGGAGCCTGTGTTGGTGCCAGCTACAATCTACCAAGTACACTCAAGCATGCAAACACTTGTCTAGGCTCCAAGTTAGAACAGCTCTAGACATTACTGCATCTGCAAATCATGTGGTCAGAGGGCTTGGACACTTCCAGTTGTAAAGCTGCAGGAGCAATGAGGTCATTGCACGAGAAAAAGTAATTGAATAGTTAGGAATGCATCTAACATGCATCCTCCTGACAAAGTTTCCATTTGATATAGCTGTATCAATATGGAACAAAAAAATGTGAGGCCTTGGCAGACCACATTTGCTGCCAATTACTGAAATTTCAGTATCATTTTTTCTGTTTATCTCAAATTTCATATTTCCCACAAACTATTAGTCTTCTTTCCTCTTGAGTGATAATCAAGTAATCAAACTCTTTTCGCTCACTTCCATCCTCTGGTACCCTTGCTTCTCTTTGTTCTGCTGTTGACTGCCATTCCAGCAATTTTCAAGAGCTCTTTGTGACAGGGGCTTGTTTTATTACAATAAGAACCATAGACAATAATGGCACTACAGGTTATAAAAATTATCCAAAATCCAAAGGGGTTACTCTAAGCCATACTGGACTTACTGGACATACTGTTACTTTGCTTTATCCCATTGAGGTACAAAGACATCAAGCCCCAATATCAGAAACTAGAAAATGTGACCCGCAACATTTATGCGGCCCTCCAACATTTCTGCAGACTCTCAATGCTTCAATCTCTCATCCTTCCCAGCCCCCATTGCATCCCTTTTACAGATTCTCAAATAACTAGATGGGAAAGCTAATTGTTACAAGTTCAGGAGAGAGGTGAGATTGATACTAGTTTTTTCCCCCTGAGTTTGGAGCTATTTCTTTGACAATCAAGGGGGAAAAAATCTAGAAAATCATATTGTCCCTGGGATGCTGTAAAAGGGTCCCACAGTACTGCAGCCAAAATATATAGCCAAAACAATATAGTAATTTTTAACCCAACCACCATTCCTGTTCGTACTGATCGTGGGTTGAAGTCGTCCTCTTCCAGATGCCAACGTTCACGGTAGAAACGATAATAAACCAGGTTTTGCTGCATGACTTCATCTCCAGGATCAAAGAGCATGTAGCTAGCTACACTCTGTACTGCATTCTTAATATCATTCACTGCGCAGAGAATAATACACCAGATTAGTGGGAGAGACACATCTTAAGCACAACATGAAAAAAAGGAGGGAAGGAAAAAAAAATCAGGAAAGATAGCTTTTCTCCCAAACAGTAAGTCTTTATAAATATAGCCTGAAAGTAATATTAACCTCTATTGGTCTTATCAAATTTTAATCACAATGTACTCAAAAAATTGCTGCACTTTCTTGAAAGAGAAGAAAAATGATTTAGTCTCTGTTTTTCCAGGATAGGGGCCATGTGGCCATCGAGAAGTTTTGAACAAGGAAAGGGGACTAGTTCACTAAGAGAATTTTTTTTTTACAAGCTGAAAAAACAGGTCTTATCTTAGGTACAGCTAGAAAAACTTTGAAATGTCATTGTCAGATAGCATAGATGAGGCCAGATGAAAAAGCACTCTGACTTTTTGGTTTCCAAGCCCCAGGTTTTATGTTCTTGCTAGAGACAACATTATGTTGTTCAATTTGTAAAACAAAAACAAAAAACAAAAAACCCCAAACCTAGAAATTCTTCTACTGTAGTAGGGGATAGGAGGCAAAGGAGGAAATTGGAAAAATGTCTACTGTCCCATCCTATCTCAAACCAGTAGATTTTGACCCAATGCTTCCACAAGATGGCACTGCTTCAAATCCTACCCTCTCCTTAAATCAAGCCTCCAAAATCAAATCAAGAACTCACATTTGTAGTATGCAAACTGAAGATAGTGATACATCGTAGCCACAAATTTCTCGACAAAATAGCCACCTACATTTGGGGTCAGGTCAACTTCACAGTCCACTTTACACTGCAGGACATAAATGAAATGATCTGGGAAGGAAGAAAGAAAGAAAGAAAGAAAGAAAGAAAGAAAGAAAGAAAGAAAGAAAGAAAAAAGAAAGAAAGAAAGAAAGAAAGAAAGAAAGAAAGAAAGAAAGAAAGAAGGAGGGAGGGAGGGAGGGAGGGAGGGAGGGAGAAAGAGAGAAAACCAAGTCACTAATCCATCAGCACCCCTAGCGAAACAGCTTTTGCATCCCAGTTCCATTCATATTTACATGGATTCAGTGATCAGCGTATTCAATAGGGCTTCCTTATAGAAGCAGCCATAATTTCTTGTTAGCTTCTCCAACAGATTTGATGTTCTCACTAAACTTATTTCCAGTATTTCCAAGTTCTTTTTATACTTTTTATACATATTAATATACTGACTCTTATAAGACAAGATTGCATTTGCACACATTTATTAATATTATGAAGTTATCCCATTTTTTTGTCAGTGAATGCAACTGACCATTCTCTTCTACACAGTTGATTAGGGGTCTTGTTTTGGAAGTGAACACAAGGCTGTATTTATTTACAGAAAGAGGTGCTAGGACTGGTAAGGGAGAATTAGTAATATTTCAGAAGTACCTCTCTGAAAAAGCAACAGATCAGGAGGGATAAGGGAGTACTGGAAATTTTGCAGATATGAAGATGATTGCCAAGGTCAAAACAAACAATGCAAATTTTTAAAATGTATATCCCTGTTTGAAAACAACTCTATATGCAAATGAACTAAGAATGCTGTAGAAGTGGAAGTAATTCTGCAGTATCTCTTTTAGTCTGCAATAGCTCTATATACTAAATCCTGCACCTGTGAAAATCCTTGTCCCACCCAAAACCAATTAAAATTAAGAGAAATAATTTTATTCATTTGCATAATTGACATTTCAAACTGTATACCAGCAACAAAATGGACAGTGGATCAGCATACGTATGATAGCTGATCTGTCCCTGGTGCCCTTACCTGCTATGGCTGGATAGAAATCCTTAAATTCACAGAGCTCATAGCTACCCTCACAGCCAGCTAGGCAATTTTCATAGGCCTCGTAGTATTTGGACAGTCCATGCTCCATGTCAGCAATGCTACTCCTAAAATCTCCACTATTGTAAAGCTTCACTGCTCTGACAAAAACCGTCTGCAAAGAATAAATTGAAAGTAACAGGTTGAGTATATAGATTTATGTTTTTATTTAACTCTTTAATCTTAAATTTAAATTAATAATTTCCCCCTTTCTAGTTCCTGCATTTCTTAAATTGACTTAACAAAGTCAATTTATTAACTTTTTAAAAATGCTGACAGGCTACACAAGGTTGCTTCATGGGCCACATGGAAAACCAGCAGCCCTCAGAACAATTTGCAGGAAAACCAGTAATTGACATTATCTAATCCCTTCTACTGATCATCAGCACCATAAAATTGAATTGATTCATCCCTTACAGCAGCATTCCCCAACTTGGTACCATTTACTTATGGTGACTGCAACTTCCACAACAGGAATTGCAATTCCAGCTCTTTTGGAGGACATCAGGTTGAGGAACGCTGATATGGAGTAGAAGACATCAATTTAGAAAGCAAAGATTACTAAAATGACTTTTTCATATAGTACATGTGACAGAAAGAAAAGACATACAAAAAAGAGCATTGAAGTGTAACCCTCCAACACCAGTCTGTTTCATGTTTAAAACACATTAGGCTTATCGTTACCAGGTTTTTGTTGATTTTGTTTGATGATTGCCACAACCTTCTTTTTGGACTCTAAAAGATTTCAGGCAACTTCATATGCTGAAGAAGGAGATTCTCAAGCCCCTAATCAGTTGGGTTCAAAACTGGGCATGAGAAAGAATCTGTATTTGTGATGTTGGTTGATGGTGTTATTGGGATCTAGATATGGGGAGTGGATTCCTATTAGACCTATTGACTGCCTTTGATACTATCAACCATGAAATCCTTCTAAACTATCTGTAAGGACTGGAGGTGCTATGTTTGAGTAGTTTCACTCCTTCCTTTGTAGCCAGTTCTAGTTGATGGGTGCAGAGGAGAAGTTGGCCCCAGTGGCTTACATGTGGAATACATATAAGGCTTGATACTGTTGCCACTACTTTTTAATGTTTACACAAAGTACTTGGGATTAATTATCCATTAGTTCAGGTGAGGTATCATCACTCTGGGCCACTCTAAAAATGCAGCTGAAATCTCATTCCAATATCAGAAAGTTCCAAGAGTATAGATAGATAGGAACAGGCTGAAGTGAAATCTAAATATGTGCAATTACTATTTCTTCCATGCTAGCTCTGATAATGTTGCCTGAAGGGATGGAATTACTCCTAGAGCATGTCCATGATTTAATGGTCCTTCCCACAACTACTGCTAAATAGTTAGGTGGAGGCCATAGCCAGAAGGCATTTTACTAACCTACCTGAAATAGCAGAATCTCACAATTTTAACCTATCACTACCTGGTTGGACTATTGAAATGTGCTCTAGACAGGTTTCCCTTTGAAAATGACACAGAAACTATTACAAAATATAGTGATCCACATGCTAGCTTACAGCTAGACTCTATAAGCATATTACAACTGGGCTCTGAGTCAGTAGCTTGCTTCGGTTTAAAGTAATGTTGCTCTGAGTGCTGTTCTTAGATTATCAAGGCCTATATGGTTTCAGGGCCATCTCCTTCAACCAAAATGAACCCATTCAATATAAAACTCAGGAATTTTCTTTAGTAGTTCTCCAGTATTGTGAAATTAGGTGGGCTGAAGCTGGAAGGAGATACATCTCTGTTGTGGTTTCCATTTTGTAGTACAATCTTCCAATGGATATTACACTTACCCCAATCTGCTGATTTTCTGGTAGCAGATTAAAAGAGAGTGCTTCTAGATACCATTATATTATTATATCATGGATATTTAATAATTTATTAATTAGTTGACTATGGCAGTCTAAAACTAACTAACTAGCAAAATATTTACTACAAAGAGACCTGCAGACCCTATAGAGCTAATTGATCTCTCTTTAAAGCTTTCAACTGTAGCCCCATCAGGGGGATAAATTTTCCTCTCCATAATACTCCAAATAAGTACCTCATATGGTTGTGCTTCCAAGTCTACAAGGTACTCATCTACATCCACCATAGTCTTGTAATAATTGAGGTACTTTTGGGTCATCTCATGCTTGGGATTCTTCTGTAGGAATGTGTGAGCAGCTGATACAGCTTTCTCAACCTTATTTGCCTGGAAAAAAAGTATATATATATATAAATAAAAAAAATAGAAAGCAGGACTAGGCAGACTTTAGGCTTCTGGAACCCACTTTATTCTTTTGTTTCCACCAGAACTCAGTAGAGTCTATTGCAAAAGCATATGTTTAGAGTTAAAGAACTTTAATTGAAAGTGCTTTTTCTGAGTTCCAGAAACCTAATTGTTCAGCACAAATATCCACTACTGGTTACCACAAGTATTTTAGCAGCAAGCCATGTGAACTCACAAATCAATCAAATGATCTAGGCTTAGTCCAGTACACACTTTGTCTGAATATCCCAATGAGAGTAGAGGAGCTTGCTTAAATAAAATGTATTTAAAACAGAGATATTAAGTTGCTTTTAATAATTGCAACAGCTATGAAGATACACATTTAATATATCATCATCATCATCATCATCATCAATCATCATCATCATTATTATTATTATTTTAATCAATTAATTAATGCACCTGAAATCTCATTCAAATATCAGAAAGTTCCAAGAGTATAGATAGGTAGGAACAGGCTGAAGTGAAATCTAAGCATGTGCAATTACTATTTCTTCCCTGATAGCTCTGATAATGTTGCCTGAAGGGATGGAATTACTCCTGGAGATGTCCATGATTTGAGGGTCCTTCCCACAACTACTGCTAAATAGATAGGTGGAGGCCATAACCAGAAGGCATTTTACTAACTTATCTGAAATAGCAGAGTCTCACAATTTTATCTTATCGCTACCTGGTTGGACTATTGAAATGTGCTCTAGACAGGTTTGCCTTTGAAAATGACACAGAAACTATTACAAAATATAGTGATCCACATGCTAGCTTACAGCTAGACTCTATAAGCATATTACAACTGGGCTCTGGGTCAGTAGCTTGCTTCGGTTTAAAGTAATGTTGCTATGGTTTAAGTGCTGTTCTTAGATTATCAAGGCCTATATGGTTTCAGGGCCATAATAATAATGTTGGAAGGGACCTTGGAGGTCTTCTAGTCTAACCCCCTGCTCAGGCAGGAAACCCTATACCATTTCAGACAATGGTTGTCCAGTCTCTTAAAAACTTCTAGTGTTGAAGTATTCACAACTTCTGGAGGCAAGTTGTTCCACTGATTAATTGTTCTAACTGTCAGGAAATTTCTTCTTAGTTCTAGATTGCTTCTCTCCTTGATTAGTTTCCATCCGTTGCTTCTTCTCCTGCCTTCAGGTGCTTTGGAGAATACAGCTTGACTCCGTCTTCTCTGTGGCAGCCCCTGAGATATTGGAACACTGCTATCAGGTCACCCCTAGTCGTTCTTTTCACTAAACTAGACATACCTAGTTCCTGCAACCATTCTTCATATGTTTTAGCCTCCACTTTCCTAATCCCCTAATTTCAGAAATGAAAGTTTACCTTGGGCCAGTTAACAGGATTATTGTGAGGGAAAATGGGAGAATAGAGCACTATATGCTGCCTTGAGCTGCTGGATAAAAATGCAAGGATAATATTTTGTTTCATACCTCACAGTTTAATCACTGCCAACTGCACATTCAAAAAGTGAAAAGTTGACCAGATTTGCATAAGGTATGATCCATTAAACTGAGCTTAGCCTATTAGCCATAGGCTTACATAAATAGGTCATTTTTGACTGCTGTCTGCAACTGTCAAACATTCATTTAATCAATGAATCTCTCACACTTTGTGCAATTTTAGAGAAGGCCTTTTATATTCATCAAGCTGACTTTCATCCCTCTTCCACCCTCATTCGCCTCTTCTCTGAAATTGAAAACAGAAAATAAAATTGGAGCTATGTATGCATACTTATGTCAATTGCCTTGACCTTTTTGATTCTGGTGAGATAGACATGTAACACTTATAAAGCTATAGTGGGATCAACAGCTGGTAGATGCTGTGTTGCTCTGAATAAAATACTCAAAACAAGAGGTTATAAAAATATAAAAGGGCAATTCAGAATGATCAGGGGACTGAAATATTAATATTGAACTTAAGTTTAACCTTATCAACTTTAATAAAAGGCAAGTGAGTGGGACAAAATGCTGTAAATCTGCAGTATAGAGAAATAAGGAGGGAGAACCATAATATTGGAATTTTGGATTCAAACAAGAAGGAGCTACGGTATTTAATTTCTCAGAACCATCTAGTCAGCAAGTGTTTAACCAGCCTATCTAACCTACAGTAATCTGGTTTTGTTCTGATTATATCAACACCTACTAAAATTTCAGTAGCAAGACAAGTAGATTTTAAAAGGAAAAAAGTCTTTGTTCTAATTTTGGGGATTTTCCTAGAGATAATCCTCAAATATTATTTCTTTTTCAGGTGAGCATTGGCATTATACTCTTTCTTTAAAGTGAAAGACTGCCAATCATTGCAGGCATAAGAAACCTTTAAAGGATATTACAGGGGATCTCTTAAAAAGATTGTTGTGGGAAAAAGGCAAGTAGGAAGATTTCAAAAAGACGACTTGGCTGCAGCCATCCACTGTTCCTATTTTTTAAATAATATTTAGAGATTTGTTTATTTATATATCATATTTTCCAAAAAATAAAAAAAGATAGTGCAGGAATTTTGAGGTAAGTGCCCATGGAAACCTAACTATAACTTATAAATAATTATATATTATAGTCCGTAATCAAAGTTGAGCACACTTTTAACATAATTAAAATAAAATAAAATAAAACATTGAAAAAATAAGATACAATATTGAAATAAACTTCAAGAAACATTAATTTACAATAAATAAATGGATAAGAGTACTGCACTGCAGATTATTGAAAACAAACTTAGTAAAATATTTACATTTAATTTCATCCAGTAACCAATGCTGAAGCACAATTCTAAAATAATTAGAATTAAATTATAGACATCTGAAAAGATTGAAGAGCATGAAATTAACAGAGTAACACAACAAATCTAAATGTACAATAGAAGATAAAACTGAACAATACAAAAACTGAAACTGAAACTGAACAAAGCTTTAGAACCTGATGGCATGTCTACAACAGGGCTTTTCAACCAGTGGTACGGGTACCACCTGTGGTACATTGGCACCTGGCAGGTGGTACGCGACCATCCTAGAAAAGTGGTAGCGGGGGAGGGGAATGAGCTGAACCGGTGGCAGCCCCACACAAGCCTGAGCGAGAGACGGCTGGAGCTGCAGGGCTGTCAGGGCTCAGTGGAAGCGCCAGGATCAGCGCCAGGCTCCAGCTGGAAAGCAGCACTCATCCTGGCACTTCTGCTGAGCCCAGAAGAAGCGCCGATCAGCTGGAATGTTGCAGCATCTCCAGGGTCTTGTGATTTACATTCAGATGCTTGGCACCTGATTCATATTTATGACGGTCACAGTGTCCCAGGGTCATGTGAAGTGACCAAAACCTGCTGCAACCACTCAGCAGATGGGGGGAATAAAAACCACCCCCCCACCCCCACTGCCAATCCTCAACAGAAATGCTCACAACAATGAAAACCTCGGACAGGAGGAAGAGCACCGCCAAGTGGGCAGGCAGGTGTCTTGCTCAGCTGTGGCTTGGGGGGCACTTTTTTCAGTGCCATTGTAACTTCAAACAGTCACTAAGCGAACTGTTGTAAGTTGAGGACTACCTGTACTTCATCACTTTTTTCCTTTTTGGGGGGGGGTCATCAAGTTTTTGACACCTTGCTAGGCGACTGGTGGTACTCGGATGTTGCCATATCCTAAAAGTGGTACAATGGGTGAAAAGGTTGAAAAGCCCTGGTCTACAATATACCACAAGAATTGTCAATACATTTTGATTAAACCGGTAACCCAGGCAATAAATTAGATACAGCAACATGATGAAGGAAAGAACATTTCAATCCTCTGAGCTACAAAGTGGGGAACAACTCAATTCACCATATAGACCTATTTTCTTATTAAATGTAGATTTTTTTACAGTGATGCTTGCAGAGAAGAAATGATATTTAATTGAATTGGTACATCTTGGTTAGATTGGAATTGTTCCAAAGAGATGCAAGACATACTCCATTAGAAATATCTTGAATGTTATTGACAAACAAGAAGGCAACAATAATGTTATTTAATGTGAAGAAAACTTTTGATAATTTGGAATTGGTCTTTCATTCTTACGATTCTGAAGAAAATGAATTGTAGTTCAAATTTATTTCATATGGATACAGAGTATTTATGAATGAAAAAAACCCCAAGATGATTGTAACTGTGCAGGAGGGGTATTACAAAAATATATCATAATGAAGAGGTGAAGTTTGTCCTCTGTCTCTTTCTTTATTCTTATCAGTAGTCATTGGCAAAGAAGATGTGTAAAGAAAACAAAATTTCAGGAACTAAATTAGCAAATTAAGAACATAAACTAAAACTATTTGCAATTGACATTGCATTTACTGTGATTTAGCCAAAAATCTGATTAATAATAAAGATTTATTTAAAGATTTTCTCTTCTAAATGATTCCAATCAAAATATAAAATATGTGACTGGCAGAAACAATTAACAGACTTTACATGGCGTAGGTAGTAAAAGAACAAGGTGGCCTGGTAGTCCTAATTTCAAATTATATTAATTACTTAATCAAAATTACAAATTGGATTATATCACTTTATTATTAATTTATTTCTATTGAGAAAGCAGATCTCTCAAATGATTTGCACAAATAAATGAGGATTTTTATTTATTTATTTATTTATTATTTTAATTTGTATACCGCCCTTCTCCCATAGGACTCAGGGCGGTTCACAGCATATTAAAAACAAATAATAAACACAAAGTACAAAAAATTACAAAATACAAAAATACAGAAAATAAACCCCGATAAAAGCCGAATTAAAACCAAATATTACAAGCTGTGTTTCCAATTAAAATACTNGGGGGGTAGTTCATTCCAGAGGGTGGGGGCACCCACAGAGTAGGCCCTCCCCCTGGGGGTCGCCAGCCTACATTGCTTGGCCGACGGCACCCTGAGGAGGCCCGCTCTGTGGGAGCGTACCGGTCTATGGGAGGGAA